TGCTTTATTTGACATCTTCAATTATACTTGAGAAAAAGATAAAAATTGATCACCATTGGACTTCATATATAAGTGTTCAAAAGCATTAAATTTAATGCATCTCTCTTTCCACCCTTGTCATACTGAGACATATTTTAACACCTGTATACGACAGCATAAAAATAGAAATTAACAGATCATGTGGTTCAGGGCTTCCTGGTTTCACAAAACTCAGGGATTTGTAAAAAGAAATTAAGCCCCACAGTGAACAAGGTAAGATGTTTTTCCCCGCATCTTAATCATTTTGGAGCAAGTTAAAATGACCAGATATGGATTTAACTGGCTACAGTCCTGCTAACGATGCAACAGCTGCCAACTATGAAAGCCTCTGTGGACTTGCTGGCAAACATAAGTGCACAACATACTCCACATACATGCTAGATCACTGCAGTAAACTGTCCTTTCAGAGTCAAAATCTCCTAACTCTGAGAAGTAACCAAGCAAAACCGCACCACTGTAATTCACCTTCTGTTTCCACTGCCTTCCTAATTCATCTTTCCACTCAAAGTATTGAGTATCTTTCACCTGCCTCATTCCTGTGGGGTTTCTCTATACAAAAAACATTTACATCCAAGCAGCTATACAAGTTGCTTGTCTTGCCAAGTCTAATTAAGATGCCACTTTAGTTTCACCTCAGTATAAAAGTGCAAAAACAGGATGTATAGAGAACTGTGACAAAACTGCTAAAACAGTTCAGTGTTTCTATCCCCCTCCGTCAATACCTGAAGCTGCAACTGGGCACTGAAACAACTACTACTTCTACTCCAAGAAACAGCAATTAGAGACCTGAAAAGATTTCCTCTTCGCAGTTAAGCAACATTTGAGGTCTTAGGATTGCCCAATCTAAATCTAGGAAAACCACAAATGGATCACTGAATATGAGGAGATAAATGGCATCTAGGAATGAAAAATAATTAACCTTTTGCACATCTGGAATAATTTTACAAAATATTTATTTACAAGCTTTGTTGAAATGCCAGACCAAGAGCAACAATATTAGTGCAATATGACTGACAGCATCACGCTGGGAAGCTTTTACACCATCACCTTTTTTTGAAACTTGGGACAGGAAAATTATCTGCTCACAACCATTTACAGAGGCATACCAAGCTTTTCAAGTTCCCTTTTCCATCACTAATAATATTACTCAAGGATGTACCAAATGGTTATCTCCCACAGCACTTCAAGTAAAGAACCAAGAAAATTAGCGTATTGCTTAAAGAAATGGTTCTATCAGAAGAGCTGCTTTGGGGGAGAAAAGTTAAAAAAGAGAATCCATGTGGCCTCATGTACAATACATCGAATTCCAGCAAGGCTGATGATCCAAAGATCAGTAGCTAGCAGGATTATCATTCTGATGGATACTATACCAATCTTGGACGACAAAACCTCTTCCTTGAACGAAAAGTAAATTTGGAAAGAACTTCGAAAATCTGGGAGGAGGGTTTGGAGGGGGATTAACAAAGGAAGTTATAAAGTGGGGAGGGGAGTGTTTAATAAAGCATATAGATGATCTGACCATTGATTTTATTTTCATTTTTCAGTACGTAAATGATGCATAATCTCTGGAATATGGTTAATAAGGTAGTCTCCTGTGATTTTGCTGGAGCTGAATTGAGTTTTTGCACCATAAAGAATGTAGGAATGTTAAAATGTAATACATTTATTTAAAACTTTTACTGAACAATGAAAAATGTTAACAAAAAAAGGTATCCACACAGAACAGGGGAAAAAAAAAAAAAGAAAATATCTTATTTTCCTTTTTTTTTTTTTTTAATACTACGATTAACAAAACTGATAAAATACAGTCTTGCCAATGAAACACAGACTTTGACATAAAGAAAGCACTGGAGAAATATTTCTACTAAAAAAAAAAAAAAAACAAAATTAAACACACACAACCAACCAACCCTCCAGACTTTACCTCTCAAAAAGCTCTCTGATCCTAATTTATAGGACATTTTACAGAAAGATAGATTCACAGTACTGAAGACCAGAAGGGCCCTTTTAAGTATGATTTCTTGTATCCCACAACTACTTACAGTTGTCTAGTCATGATTCTAACCACAGGCAATTTAGGATGGTCCATTAGATTTAACTTTCCAGAAAGTTTTCAGACTTGATTTAAAGGTATCTTGAGAGAGAGAATTTTTAACTATAGCTAGCATGCTTTAAACACCTGGAGAGGAAAACAACAACAACAAACACCAAAAAAACCACCCCACCAAACCAACTGTTTCTAACTTATTCTTAAAAAATATACCTACTTTATTTATGGCATATCGGCGAATTCGTTATTATTCAATAGTACTGTTGCCAAGAATGACACAATTAAGTTCATAAACTTTATTCAGCTTACGCAGAAACATTTACTAATGCAACAGCTATGTATGCTGTCGTAACAATGGTGCAGAACTGGAACTTTCGTAATTGTGTTACCCTTTAAAAACAAGATGCATGGAATTTCTATTAATAGGACAGAAGTTCATTCAGTCAATAACTTAAAACTTAGTACTTTCAGTAAGATACAAAGAACAGAGGTTCTTAAGTTCAGCAGTCAAATAATTGTAAGATAATAATGACTACCCGAGTCAAAAGATAGCACACTTAATCGTACGCAGAGACCAGTGAATGGGCCAAAACATCCTCTTCACAGTAGCAAAAATTAAAATTGAGCACATCTGACAAGTACATATTCAGCCCCTACTTACACATATTCTGGTTCCACGAATCCTTTTTCTTTAGAAGGTTTTACCTTACTAAAATGATTACCAATAGCTGCTCAGAATCCTTGCACTTCTAATGGCTCATGCACTTAGTATTGTATGTTACACTGTTGCTGTAAATGTGTTTCGATTGTTTTCTATCTAGGGAGGTCAACTCAAATCACAGTCTCACCGCAAACTCACAACAAAACATTTAGAAGTATGAGTTGTCACTCATTGTCAAAGATAAACATGCATGTGCCTGATTTTCAGGGTGCAGCTAGTCTTGCCAAAGTCAAAGGGATAAATAATGACTAAGCTTCAGCACCCATCAGCTGTTTGCTGGTCTAAGCCTTACAGACTGCTAACTCATGGTAAATTATTTTTATTCCAGTATTTGCAGAGAAAAAAGAATCTAACCCAAACAGAACTGACAACTATAAACATAGAGATTTGGTAAGAAATGCCAACAGGAAGCATCCAAATGCCATAAGCAGTATTAAGTGCCCGTGTATCAATGCCAAGATCCAACTGATTGAAACAACTGAGATACCAGTAGCTAAACAGGTATGAACTATCTGCCTTTAATTAATTTTAGAAGAGTTTAGCAACCATAAAGAAATGTTATCCTTTGACAGCTCTTCACCAAGGGAAACTAAGCGGTCATGCAGGCAAACAGCAGAAATGACATGCCCAAAGAGAAACAGCACAGGTTAAACATTTCTTACTCATCCAAGAGTTGGGGTTTGTTTTCTTTTTCAAACACTAGACAAAGAATTCTTCAAACAAAAGCCATTTTCAAAATCAATGCTATTCTGTGGTCCAAATGTCAAATCACTATCACATTTTCAAGTATAATTTTTAATTCAAATAACATTAAAAGTGTTCAAATATAAAGCAACAAGCTCAAATAGAATATGAATAGCACAGCTCAAGCTGTTTCCCTCAAATAATGGAAGGCAAAGCAGGAAGCTTAGCAAAATCTGGTATTTCACAGGCCTACCACATTAATGAACAGGCTTCACAGACAATAACCCACCGCTCTGTATAAAAAACAGCACTGAAAATTTTATAGATCCCATTTTAATGCAAGTTACTACACGGCCTTTTACATTGACATTACTACTGCTCCCCCTCCCCACTTCTCCTAACCTCAGTTTAGTAACAAATCCACAGTCTATGCTTGGACAATGGTTTCAACTATACCACTATTTAAAAAAAAAAAAAAAAAAAAGGCCACGGATGTTCCATAATATTTGATTAAAGAAATTAATCTAAAAGGAACTCTTAATGAGGAAACGCAGGCAGAGAGGGAAATCCTTTGAATACAAAACAAATTCTAGGTAATCCTAACTCCTTCCCCAAAGCACAGGGTGCAGCTACAAAGGTGCGGGTGACACATAATAGTTTATTTAAAACCCTCTCAAAATATGGATAAAATAACCAATACAGAAATATTTGCCAAGATGTCGAGCAGCAATTCCAACAAGGATTGCATTTGTACTGATGATGATCTCAGCTATCGAAGCTGATGCATTCAAGGCGGCACTTAACTAGCTGATGACTGAAACTACACAGAACTGCAGTGATCGCATTAAGAACCTAATGCATCATTTCCCAGAGTATAAGCAGGTGGCAGAATTGCAGAAAAGGAGATGGATTATTTTTCTCTTATGTGAATAATGTAAGAAAACATTCCTCCAAATCTTGAAAGCTGAACATCTCCGTTCAGTAGCAGGAAGATAATTTTCCTAAAGACTGCAATAATATGCCAGAAGGTCACTGGCTTGAGATGCACACAGTAACAGCACACAAGCTTCTGAAAGAACATTTATGTTACCTTTTTAACACTAGCTCAGATACTTGATTTTTACAGCCATGTACACACACACATATATATAAAGCCAACGTGCATTGTACTGCTTAAATCCAAAGCAAAACACAATACATTCTGGGATCAAGTATGCGACCTCTAAGAGTGTTTACACAAAATGGTAATTCCTGCTTTCTTCAGAGGAGTGGACTAGGCTAGCCCGACCTCAACAGGCTTCTGAAGATGAGCTGGGCTGAACAGAATCAGTACTGAGACGCAGCCTCCCAGAAGGGATGGCTCTGCAGAACACATGTACGAACCTTCTGCCCACCAGACCCACTTAACCACTTCAAATAAAGCTCAGTAACTAGAGGAGGAAAAATAACTTTGCTGAGATACTTGTTTTCAAAAGCAAAGAATTTTCACCATTTTTAGGTCTATACCTTCTAATACCAGCTCACTTCCCCCAAGGAACAGCATTCCTCCACACAATTCTCTAGAGCACTGCTCCTCCTCCTCCTCACCACATCTATCTTCAAGGTGCAATGCTGGGAAGTGAAAAACAGCATCAGAAAACCGGAATCAGCAGACATGTCAGCTAAGCCTGACAGAACTTTAAGCCCCAGTCTTGAAAAATTATTCTGTACTTCTCAGCACAAGGATGAAGGGGATTTGCCACAGCACCCCTGCCTACATGGTACCAATCCCTGAATCCTCAAGAGTCTGCATTCTGCACAACTGCATCTTAAAAACAATCTGCATTCCTAAGTAAAACTGTCCTATTGGCAAAACCAAATAGTTCAATAGAGCACTGCCCTCCCCATCATAAAAGACTTACTCTGCTGTTAATCTGAAGGATAATAAATCTCTCATCCAAGGAGCCAGGGGTCTTTTTAATCAAAATAATTCCTTGCGGGTTTGGCTGTGACTCTCTTCCAGATGAGCCCAGCCAAGGACAATGGATACAAAGGGCAATGAGACACCACCCAAATCTCATTCAGCAAGAGGAGAAAATGGCACTTCATATGAAGGGCGACACGTGACAATTGTTTGTATGGCAGACGGTCTTGTGGCAGTGCTTTATATTCACATGCCAGGAACTCTCTGCAGCAGGAAGAGACATCTGCCATGGGCTACCTTGGCAGCTGGAACCCTTGTCAGTCCCCTGTTCCAGAAGGAAAGCATCTCTTCCAGGACATCTAGGGAGAAGCTACAGCCTGTGTCCCTCTCCCCCGCTCTTGCCCAGATGATGGATATGTAGCTAGAGCCGCCTTCTCTTTGTCTGCTTCCTTCTCCCCAAATCAAGCTACCTCTCTTCCAAACCTATAGGTGGAGGACATTGTTAGATCTTTTCAGGCTTGAAGTTCACAACTGGAAGGTTATCCCAGTGACCAAAAGGGACAGACAGTTATTTCCAAGTCTGAAACAAAGTTTAAGGAAACAAAGTTCACAAAATCACATAGCTAGTTCTAGTCTTCCCACCTGTCCCACGAACTTGTGATCTCAGCATACTGCAAGCGAAACGCAGCAACTTCACTGACAACGGCACGGAGACACCGCCGCACCCTAAGCGGCCAGGAAGTCGCAACAGTCCCTACCGTTGTTTGTTTCAGCCACCAACATCTGAATGATCACGAGTTATTGCGGATCCTACAGAAAGGCAGAGGCTAGGCTGATGGATCAGCACATGCCTAATTCTGGACTGACCACAGTCAAAGCCACCATTGTCTACTGCCTTGCCGGACAGACAAGCAGACGTGAGACCAGGAGCGCTGCAGAAGGAAGGGGAGGGCACACAGAGGAACTGAAGAGGAACAGGGAACACACAACAGATCCAGGAATACTGCATCTCAACCACAAAACACAAGGCCATGCAAAACCATTTCATTAGGCTCAATGCACACAAAGCCACTAGCTCTTTGGCTTAGCTTTTCAGATCATGGTAACTCAGCACCATACCTTCAAAAATTCTTTTTCTCTGCTACACTGAAGCAAACATTTTTAAGCTACTATGATGAATCACTTTCTTGTGCTTTCTCCAACAAGGTTTGAGTATGTAACAACACCCTTATGGGTTGGTATTTGTTTAGAACAAAATGTGGCAATCACATTCAAAAACAAGCATCCAGAGTTCATTTCTTTAAAGAAAAAGTTGCAAACAAATCTGCTTCAAATCACTTGGGTATCCACTTCAGAATCTAAAGTTTATTTTTAACTTAGGGCTTTATTCTGGTTTCATATGCAGATCAGTATCCGCTAGGAATCCCAACATACGACTACCAAACTACACGCGTGATAACAAAGCTCTTGCTCCACAGACCCTACAATCTTCATACCTTCAGAATAACTGGGACATTACTCAACTTCTGTTTTGATGAAAGCTAAGCAACCATTTCCCTCTTAGCTGTTTTATGTTTCTCTACATCCAAAAAAAGGTTAAACTTAACTAACAAACAGGCCATACTAAATTTATGTCAATAGCTGAACATCTGTTAAGAGCACTGTTTCTCAAAATGCAACCCACGAAGAGCAGGAAGCTTATATGGTGCTGGCTTGCTTTCATTCACACCTGCTTAATTACATGAAAAACTAGAACACTTGAAGTATTTTTCAAATATCAGTTTCCTTGCAACCAGGAGCTAGAGTCACTACAGAATTGTTTCAAAATCACAAGAGCTGACTTGCACAGCCATCGGCTGGACCATCCCCGATGCACGTGACCACATGAAATGCAACACGGGGTACTCTTCTGTTGAGGCTTTTTCAGTGTTTCTGAAGGTGTTCAACCTCATACAAAATGCTCATGTTTTCCAAGACAGTGAGACACTCAAGTTCAAGACCTTGATCAAAGAATGTTTAACTACGTACACTGAATGATTTTCAATATGATAGACTCAAAAATAATCCCATTGGAATCTAAGTGAAAAGCATCTCCACCACAGCGGTACCTGCACTTTTTCATTCCTCAGTTTGCAGCTATCTGGAAGGGGAGGAGAAGAACATTTGACCCAAAATTCAAAACAAGTTTCACATTGACCAAAACCATATTGTTATTTATATATCAGTTCAGACTATTGAGGTGCTCTACAGAAAAGCATGTGAGAAATGAAAACGCTCTATCTTCAGAACAAGATTTAAATACCATGTTGTTTGTGAGGCTTAGAGCTGCTGAACAGTGGAAAAGAAAATGAACAGTCGCTTATTAACAGAGGATCAACCTCCCTAACGTAACGAATGAGGCTAGGTTCCTACATAGTATCACTTATTGTATTTTTATTAAAGAGCTTAAAAGCAACTTTAACTGTGGAATTTCCTAAGTCTTGTGTACTTTCATTGGCAATCAGCATGTTCTCTTAGAAGCCTGTGCATATATTTAATACAATAATTTAGTAACAGCTTTGTGCAGACCCTTCTGCACAAGACTGCAAGACAGCAGTTTCATTCCGTATGGGACTACTCACCCAAATTAGAACTATGCTAGCATTTAAAGATACAGGATATGGGCTCCCCAACCTTCTCTGGAATAAGATAAATGAAAATATTTTGGCAAGGAAACAGTCCCTCACACGCAGAAGTTTTCTTAGAACCTCCAACAGTTTCTTGTACTGAAGAGCATTGTGTTCAACAACACCAGAGACTCTAACCTTAAAACAAGCTCTGCTTTTTGTTACCAAATAAAATGAAGTTTGTCAATAAGGAGGTTCCCCTCCTGCTTAAAAGCTAGACTTCTGTGCAAACTTTAAGCGTTAACTAGAGACACACTGTAAACTGAAATTCTGGGTAGGAGCTCTTCAGCCATTCCGCAGAGTACAGAAAGATAAAGTGAACAGCATACCTAAAAGCCTGCTGTCCACGCAGTCCCACTTCTTGCTGCATGGTCCCACCCCCTCTAGCACACCTCTGACGAGTCACTGAGCCAATTCGACCCAATAATCTGAAGGAAAATTTATTACTTCCCCCCCAGTTATTTCAGTTTTTTCCTAGAACAACAAACTCAGTCTGCTCACCAAAAGGTCAGACAAGTGCCAGGTCAGCACAAGTATTTAGAGTGTGATGCTTCTGCAGCATGAACTAACACCTTGCTGCTGCCCGACTCACCCAGCAGCAGCCGTCAAAAGACTAAATGTTAAAATTGCCCAATTTCCTTTCAAAAGCAAACGGGTCTTCTCCTCCTCCATTATAAATTAAAACAAAACAAAACCAAGTATGCCAAATGCTTGTTAGTGTTAGCTTCATATGTGCATAGGTGTGCTGTTTTTGGCTGGGATAGAGTTAATTTCTTCATAGCAGCTAGTATGGGGCTATGTTTTGGATTTGTGCTGGAAGCAGTGTTGATAACACAGGGACGGTTTCATTACTGCTGAGCAGGGCTTACACAGAGTCAAGGCCTTTTCTGCCTCTCACCCCACCCCACCAGCGAGGAGGCTGGGGGTGCACAAGGAGTTGGGAGGGGGCACAGCCAG